AATTTGACCTCAATTCGGGCTTCTGGCAACTTGGAATTCATCCGGAAGAAAGATACAAGACGACATTTTGTCTGCCAAATCGCCATCTTCAATGGAGTGTTCTGCCTTTCTGTCTAAAGACCGCACCTTCACTGTTCTAGTAAGCAATGTTATGAATATTCAAGCCCCTCTTCCACACGACTTTAATATACATCGATGACATACTCTTGTTCTTTTCAAATGAAAAAGAACATATTCAGTCTCTCAAGCGGTTTCAAAGCATAATCAAAAAAATATGAAGTTATGTTCTCGGCCCGAAAGATGATCATTGCCCAGCCCAACATTGAATTCCTTGGAATGCAGATTACAAATGGACAGATTACACCATAATCTCATTTCACTACAACTCTTCTCGATTTTCCGGAAGAAAATCTCACAAAAAGACAAGTTCAACAATTCCTTAAAGTAATCAATTATGTAAGCGATTTTATCCTGTAACTTTCACAGTTGACAAGACCACTGCAGAAAATGTTGATGAAGAGTCCACCCCAATGGACAAAGCGACAAACCAAAGCGATAGAAAGGCTAAAGCAGAGATACAGAAGCTACCACTTTTACAGATTCCCTCCTCGGGGACACGTATTCTGCAGACTGACGCAAGTAACAAATATCGCGGAGCTATATTATCTGTAGGAATAAATGGAAAACGTCAAATCTATGGATATAAAAGTAGACGTTTTAAAGATGCAGAAATGCATTATCACTCCACATTCAAAAAAAATCCTAGCGGTTAGGAAGGCCATCGGGAAGTTCGAGTTCCATCTGATAGGACATAAATTTCGCATTAAAATGGATATGTCTTCTTTTCCCAAGATGTTACAATTCAAGCAAAAGATGGTCTCACACCAGCAATTATTACGATAAAGTGAATGGTTTTCAAAGTACGACTTCAAATCCTTTTATTTAATAGGCAAAGAGAATACTCTTGCAGACATGCTCAGCAGAAAACCACTAGAGGAAATTCATATGATGGTGAGCTTGTACACATCAGAGAAAAGCTATTACGAATTTGAAGCAAACATACCCGAAGACGCCCATCAGCTAATCGAGAGAAACAATTTACATGAGCATCTTCAAAAAAAAAACCTTCCAGTATCAGTCCATCATTCTGTCAAAGCATGACACTAATTGTCATTACATCGCACCAATGGGGATCCACCTGGACTATCCGTTTGCTCACCTCTATAGGATCAAAAATTCAAATATGCTAGAAGAAGTCCTATATTTCCTCTGGCATCTCTGCTCAGTTTACACAATTAGCATTACCTTTGACATAGGACGACTGTATCAATGCCCAGCAAGGTCAAAGAGATTGTCTCTCGACTTTCTTGACATGGTTTACGTCATTAACCATATGGAGCAGAAAATTAAGAAGATCAGCAAAAGCAACAAATTTATCATTCAAAAAATTAAAAGGTCAAGAAGGTCTTAATCCTTTCTTCAACCCCCATAAAATATACTTCTTCCATCGACCTGTTCAAGTCAACATCAAGTCCAACAAGCTTCATGCACTACCCACACTCATCCACCACAACGACTACCAAAGTTGAATTCGTCCAGACTTCAACATCCATGATAACAAGCCATACAAAGACTTCCAGACACACGCATTTCATCTCAACAATGCCAGTCAAACGTTCCCCGTTCCATTCAACCCAAGCTGGACCTACTAGTCTATTAACTACCATATGAGCCTCTGTGAAGATCTACAATATTTCATGGCAAAACATGGCAGATATTCCGAAGCTAATGAAGCATGATATTCCGGAGATAGTAAAACAAGAACAAACGTCTCAATATTCCCCGCTAGAATATTTCCAAGAGGCAACTCCTTGATGACACAATGGATATTGATGAATCAAAAAAATGTTCAACATCGACATTAATAGATAACCACAGGATAGCTTTGAGGAACCAAAGGAAGAATACGAATGTCCAGGAGATTATTACGGCTGTTGCAACAAGCATATCATCGAGTTCAAAATGGATCACTAAATGAAGTAATTCTAAGTACTTCATTATGTATAATTATTAATAAGCGTGTGTTAGTAAGCATGCGATGATGATGATGTAAGCGATGATGTAATCTCACAAATAATTAAGAATGATGTAAGCACTTATGTCAGCATACTATTCTTCCCTTATATATATGTGTGTACCCCCATTGTAATAAAATGCCTCAGAATTTCTATAAAAAATCTCTTTTCTCTAAGTTTCTCTTTTGAAAAATGAATATCTAAAAACTCTTTCAGTTTTCAGACTTCCTAACATCTTCATAAACTTTGATTACTCTCTGTCATTAGAAAGATGCCATTCTGCTCCAAATCTGTGGTTGAACATTCTGGTTTATCAATACTATTCTTGTTAATACGACTTTCGTAGGAAGATAAATTTCCTAACAGTGGTTGAGAAAATTAAAGGCTGGTCCAGACATCTGAAGTCAGCAACAAAGCATGGCAGGTATTCCGGAAAAAAACACGATACTCCAGAGATAGTAAAACAAGAATCAACGTCTCAATATTATATGTTTGTACCTACATTATAATAAAATATGATTATACATAAATAGAGTATTAAATGAGAAGATAAGCAACTCAAAGTTTTTTATATCAATGGATAGATAAGGGTTAAAGTATTGTCTTGGTTTCTGGTCTTAACACACACCATGGAAAATATATATATTTTGCAATAAAATTGATTTCTCTATGAAGTATATGTGAGAAATTGATTTCTCTAGAGTTACATCTAGTCAATCTATATAATATTTCACAAAATCAAACTCCACATTCCCATGAGTCATAAATTATGTAGTTGGTCCCAACAAACATGCTACAAAATAGCTCGTCTAGCCTCACATTTGGAACAATATTTGGTTCCAGCAACCAAAACAGAACAAATGATCCCTCTCCAATGAAGGGATGATTTAACAATAGAGAACTCTTGGTTATACCCACTTTCATTATGGAAGGTTTGGCATTAACCCTTCATGGAAGAACATGTTTATATGTAGCAGTGAAAGTCGCTCTACTCTATCAAAGAAATAAAAAGTCATGTTTGCTTTGCAACTCTTCATTTAACGTTAAATGCAAGATGTCTGTCACATTTTTCAAATTTCTACGTAATGTTTAAAAACTGACAAATCCAAATAATAATTATCAAATCTGTAGAATATGTCTAATAAGTTTATGCAAGTTTGTGGAGAAAATGTTGGTGCAGATTTGTGGAGAATATGTTGGTGGAGTAACTATAAAAGTGTCAAAAAAAATATGTAAGATCGTTTAAATATGTAGAATAAATAAGATTAATATACATATATATTATGATATATATTGAACAAATTTTTTTAATGAATATATTGAACAATTTTAATATGCTATGTAATATTATCTAGGATTTGCACTATAAATATCAAGATTTGATAAGAGTTAAAATCCAAGCCAAAAATGAGAAATAAATACGAAACAAGTCTGAGAGTCCCTTTAAGTGTTTTTGTAATCTCTTAATTATTCTTTTAATAAAAGCTTCCTCCTCATTAAATATATCTATCATTGCTGTTATGATGAGTCGGAGAATGAAAGGAATCTTAAGATTGAAATGAGCGAAAATGAATCTATGAACGAATGTATTAGAAGAAGCAAACGAGAACTTGAACCAATTTTCTCACTTTTGACATTTTTTTCGTAGTGTCAAATAGAAACAGTGAAATATAGAAAAACAAACTAAACTAAAAATTAATTAGTAAATCAGAAAAAGTGTGTGCATAATAAGAAATAACATAATATAGGACAAGCTTAGAAGCCTCTTCGACTCAATCTCCTAAGGTTCAACCATAGTGTAAGCAAATGTTATCTTCTCTGGTAAATACAACTGTACAAGTCACAACCTTCTAATCTCATACCTTCATAAGAAATTCCTAGCCAAGCGAGACGAGGTTTTGTAGATCCATTTCTTGAACCAACATTGCTAATCTTTACAAGTGGAATCAATTTCTCAAGAACGATAGAATAATCTTTGTCATTTTCTACTATATTGTTTAGTAATACTTCTCAGCGCCTCTAACCCTCATAACACTTGCAAAACATTTCTTAAATGAATCCACCCAATGCAAGAAATGTTTGCCCCGAACATAGATTTGATATGGTTCTTAGTGATTTTGGACTATGATTTTTTCTCCTTAACCTTCGAAAAACATGTCCATCAAATCTAACTCCTGAGACACCCTATGATCCGTAGAAACCACACCACACTTTACGCCAAAAACACCCACTGAATCTTATATGAAAAAAGGAAAAAAGATAACAAACCAACAGAGATGGACATGCATGCCTATGAAATTCATAATATGTTATTTAATTCATTAATTAATATAAAATGATCAGTCTTTTTTGTAATTGCAATATCATTTTAACATAAAATTTAATATCATTTATGATGGATCTCAAACAAACCTGTCTTGGCTCTTTTATATTCTCAAGAGTTAAAATCCATTATATTCATTCTCCTTTAATCATTCTCATTTTTATTATCTTATGCAGCTCGTCAACCATGTGTCTAAACTCACTTAAAAATCTTTTACGTAACAATGACACTATACTTGACATCATGTCATTTGAGGAGCCATTAAGAAATTAACAAGCAATGCCATGCTTTTATGGCTGATCCTCATGAAACCATCCACACACAATGGCTGATCAGGCCATATATGCAAATCTTATTATGTTTTACTCACTTCCCTACTTTTTTTTTTGTCACCAACCAACCATACAAGAAAGTCGTATTGGGTTATTAAAAGCAGGTTCAAATGAAACCGCTTCCATTAACCGACTCTGACTTATATGGGAAAAAATATAGCCACATGCTCTTGCCTTTTTGGCAAGATCGTCGACACAGACACTTTGGCTGCGAGTAATTAACCTAATTACACAAGTTTCAAAAGAGGATCTAAGCATACAAAAGTACTCTATCTCTGATCTGAAGGATGGCCAATCCGTAGGATTTTCAATCATCTGAATCAGGTTTGAGTAGTCTGACTCGATACATACTATAAATTTGCCTGTCTTTTAAACAAGCCATCACCCATAGTAGTCCATCCATCTCTGCATGCAACGCTGATATGGACCATCTGCACCCTTGTTATTCAGTGGTAATTTGTCCTCTTGTGTCTGTTAAGTACCATCCAATTCCAGTAACCGACCCATGGTTGACCCAAAAGGCATCAATCTAGCAAGTCAGGATTTGGGGGACCACACGGGACTCACCTGAGATGCTAGGTCTTTGTCTCTCCTCTTCCTCCTTGTCTATCTCCTCTTCATTTGCTTTCTGCCAGCTTTCAGCTTCTACGATAGCATGATGTAAGATGTCTCCGGGTGGGATCACTTTTCCTTTAAAGAGTTTTTCATTTCTTGCCTTCCAAATAAACCAAATGAGCCACGAGAAATTATCTCTCTTAGGAGTAGGGAGCTCCCTCTCTCCGATCCTCCAAAATAGAAATCAAAGTTTCCATATAGAGATAAGCTTAGGAAGCCACCTGGAAAGGACGCAAAGTCCGATAGAGCCCACACTTGTCTCACAAATGGAATTCAAAAATCATATGGTTAATTTTTTCCTCTGGATCACCACAATGGGGGCAGCTCTTGTTGCTACCAATGTGTCAAAATGTAAGCCTTTGGTAGGTGGCTACACTGCCAGAAAGGGCTTGCCACAAGAAGTGATGCATTTTCGGAGGTGCTCTAATTTTCCAGGGCTGACTCAACAAACATGTGATGCTTGGTTCTGTCATCATTATCGGCTTAAAATCAAATTTTAACCGTTGGTCTAGTTCATAACCAGATTTGACTGTGTAAGATCTTGGGTTAGTATGGTTCCAAGCGTACCCATCAACAATTAGATGTGGGCTAGGTCGCATTTCAAGAATAACGCATATATCTTCGGGGTGGATAAGATCTCTAAGGATCTGGGCATCCCACTCCTTTGTATCTCTTCTCATGAGCTCATGGGCTAGCAGATCAGGATTACTATCTGTTACGGGAATGATCCAGCTCGCAGGTCTAGCCGGGATTGTGGGGATCCAAGGTTTGCTCCATACTCGAGTATTACATCCCGACCTAATGTTCTTTTGGATACCCTGGAGGAGGAGAGGTTTTGCGACCATGATATTGTTCCACCCATATGATAGGGAGTATGATCTTGGCACATCTAATGGGCTTGAAAGTCTATAATATCTCCCTTTCTACACCCTCACCAAGAGGGATGAAGGGTATTGGAGCAGGCACCATAATTGCTTTGCTAGCAATGCGATGTTGAAATCATGGAGATTACTGAAACCCATACATCCCCTTTCTTGGGGGGGGGGGGGGGGGGGGGGGGGGGGGGGGGGGGGGGGGGGTGGGTACATATTTTATCCCAAGCTATCCAATGCATTCCTCTGCTATTCTGTTTTGAGCTTCACAAAAAAATTGAGATTGTGTTTTGAAGTTTATCCGTTACACCTTGCGGGGAGCAGAAAACACGACATAACATATGTCGGAATTCCTTGAGCCACCGATTTGATGTGTACATCTTTTCCACCCTTAGAGAGGAGTCTTGCTGACCAATTGTTGATCCGATTGTTTAGTCTATCTTAAACATATGCAAAAACAATCTTTTTTGAGCCATATGTCTGTTCTGGAATACCTAAATAAAGTCACATACCACCCTAATTGTAGATACCAATGGTCCTCTTTATCTCTTGTTTCAGGGGTAGTTTAACTCTGTTCCCAAATAAGATCTATGATTTCGCTGGATTCAACTATTGTCCAGATGCTTCTCCATATGAGTGTATTATCCTCAATATCTCTTCACACTGCCGGACTTCTGCAAAAAGTATATGCATAACCCTAGGACTTGCTCGTGCGATCCTTAGTTCTGAGATACGCTGTTTCTCTTCAGCTCCTTTAAGTAGGGAGATTAAAGCCTCTGTACATATGGTGAACAAGAATGGAGACAGCGGGTCTCCTTGTCATATTCCCCGTGATGGGTTTATCTTCCCTTTTGCTTCGCCATTAATAGACACCTGATAAGATACAAAGGATACACAGAGCATCAACAACTTCACCTATCTCTTGGAGAGCCCCATCTTTAATAACAGTGCCTTTAAGAAATCCCACTCGACTCTATCATAACCTTGCTCATATCTATCTTTATTGCCAAAAACTTTTCTTGACAGCTCACGTTACATAGACTTATGGGTCTAAGTTCCATCATTGTCCTCGGTTCATCCTTTTTGAGGATTACGCATATATTCTTTTTGTTATGTCTTGGGTCAAAAGTGCTTTTTTTGAAAAAAATCTGACACTATTTTGGTAATGTCGTGATTTGTAACCTCCCATAATTTCTGGTAGAACCAGCTTGTCATGCCATATGGCCCTAGAGCTTTGTCTGAGTTTATATTGAATAGTGCTACCCTTATCTCTTCTGCTGTTGGGGTCGCTAGAAGTCTCCTGTTTTCATCCTCAAAGACTGCCTCGGTAATGAACCGGGGTGAATCTGAGAAATCAGTGGGATGTGAAGTGGTTAAGAGTTTTTGGAAGTAGTGTGATGCGACTTTTTCTATCCTGTTGGTACTTTCCACCCAGTTACCATTAGGATCTTTTAGGCAGATGATGCGGGTCCGCGCCCTTCTTCTTCTGGTGGAAGCATTATTCTTATCCCCTCCTTTGTGCCACTTTTTTCTACATTTTTGGAACCAGAACAGCTCTTCTACTTTAAAAGCTGAGCTAAGTTGTCTCCTAACATCTTGTACTTCCTTAAGGGAGGTGTCCTCATCAGTTTGAGCTCTATCTACTTTATCTTTAAGCTACTCAATCAATCGTGTTGTATTAGTCGGTAGAATCTTCTTCCAAATGGAGATATGTCTTTGATATGATGTCAACCGATGGTGGAAATCCTTATTAGGTCTTTGTTGAATCGTACCATAACCATTTGTGACAGCTTCTTTAAACCCTGGTTTTTCAACCCATCTTTTGTTGAACCGGAAGCTCCATTTTCTTTGGTGTGGGGATAGATTGGATGCTAGCCAATATCGGCCGATGGTCTGATCCCCAAAGTTTTAAATATTCCACTGATGAATGAGAGAACAGATGATGCCACTCCTTATTTTCAACGGCTCTGTCTGGCCAGCATTTAACTTTCCCGTTTTGTCGATTTCCAACCCATGAGAAGGAGTTTCCTTTAAAAGGAAAGTCGATCATCCCACAGCTTACAACCATGCTATGGAAAGGTAGGAATGACGCCTGCTCTTCTTCTCCCCCCTCATTTTCCATGGTTTCTGGTAATTTCATTAAAATCCCCTATCATTAGCCAGGCATTCTGCCGATTAAGACTCATGTTAGTAAGTTTTTCCTAAACTTGTTCTCGGTATTCAACAACCGGATATCCATAAGAAAATGTCATGAGAATTTTGTGTCCTTCAATTTTAGTTTGTACATCAATCAAACGCTCATCTGAATAGGAAATTAAAACCGATGAATCATTCATACAGAAAAGTGCTAATCTCCCACTTGAACCTTTGGCTCCACGGTAAAAAACATGATCATAACCGAATTTGACTTGTAAGTCTTGCATAAAAAATGATAATTCTTTGTCTCTGAGAAAATCAGAAAACTGGAAAAAAAACATGGATGTAACTCATCTAAATGCTGTTTGGTTAGGTCGGCTCCCGCTCCCTGGAAATTCCATGAAATAATATTCATCTTTATGGATTTGGAGGCCATTGGCTTGGCTGTGTTATTAGACGTAACTTTTTTCTCCTCATCATGAGGGAGCATGTTTCGTAGGGCTTGAAGTTCACGGATTGGGCTTGCGCATGAGCCCGATAGATTGCCTTTCTTGGATTTTGGGGAATGGTGGCCCTTGCCCAGGAGCTGTTTTCTTCATTCCGAAGCCCAGATACGATGGGCTAGAGCACGCTTTCTTCTTCATCGTTGTCAGGGGGATAGAGTGAGATTGGAAAATCGATTGGCCGAATCGATTACTGTGATTCGCCTGAGTTTCCTCCTCCTCCCTAAGCTTCTCCACTGCAGCATCGAATTCCAATGTTGCGATTTGATACTCTGCATCCATGGTTATCGACTCTTCAAGCTCGATCCGGTGCGTCTCCGACAACAGGAGATCTTCTCCAAGAAGATCATCGTTGACAAAGCAATCTATGTCTTCTTCATCCACCCCCCTTGAGAAGTGCATCTGCATTCAGAGATACTTTGATCTTTGCTGTAGTTGCAGCGACGGCCTTTACTTCGCCGAGTGAGCTTCTGATTTCTGAGAAAATTTCTTCCATCCAAAAGTGGGTGGGAACGCCAATGACTTTGACCCAGAACGTCATGGTGTTTGGGATAGCGTCCCCCACATGCGGAGCCCACCGTTCTAAGGAGAATGACCATTTGTTAAAGTGGCAGTGTCGTTTGTTGAGGGTCTTCAGGAGGCTTGCCTTCCATATCTCAGATGTTAGCTTGTGGCATGAAAGCTTTTAGAGCTTCAGTGCTTCTACCATCACGGTGAAACATTCTTCCCACCAAGCTTAGATTGAACTGAGATACAAGAGCATCATTGTTCACTTGGGGGAGATTGATAATATGCTCATCTTCCTGTTAGATCTGAAAGTAATTTGTAGCTACAATCGCCATGGTATGGATGCAGAGATCTGGTTTATAAATCGTAAAGTTTGGTAGAGGTATTTGCTACAATAAATGATCTGATTTAAAGTTTGAGAATTTTGAGTTTCTTAGCACCAGGCTAGTTATAGCAAAAATTTCAGTACACAAAAATTATGGAAACCATCATAGCCAGAAAGAATCTTTTAGGTTCAAAACTTGTAAGAACTCACTTTCCTACTTATATAATAAATTAAATACAAATCATACAATTATTACTTGTTCTAACTATTTTTTTTTTAAACGTTTCTATTTCATATGTTATTAATATAGGTTCTTATTGGTTACAGACTTTTATTGTTAATACTGTAAATTAATAGACTGTAAAAACTGTGACTTTAAAATAATAAAAGTGACTTTAAAAAGAGTTAAAGCCATATTTTGTTGGTTTTTAAAAAACCCATCGGTTATGAACAAGAAAAATAAAGAAAATGGCTGTGAGAATATTTAGGAGCAGTTTTATCACTTTTAAGACTTTAAAACTATTAAAGTGTGATTGGATAAAATATGACTTTAAAGACTGTAATTATTTTTAAAGTCTCTACAGCTTTTAAAGTAGGATTGCCAATCGGAACCATTATCATCTATAAATGATGCAGATGAAGAACTGCTAAGTCAACAATCATCAATATTATTAACATTACATATATATTCATCCAGCTAATCACCATACACCTATTAATAGTCTAAATATAACATTATATGATTTATCATAACATACATATCCATAATTACTCTAATAAAACCTAGAAAATAATGGTCAAAAATAGTTACAGTTAAAAAATGATATTCCTGTAACTGCAACTGAGTCTGTCTGTTAGAATTGGAATCCTGAAGTGTTGGATTCATGGTCAAAAGAAAGAACTAAAATTCTGATAGTGTGATGTTTTCAACAGTATCTAGATCGATTTATAGATCCTTCTGGATCAATAGGAAAACATTCCCAAAGTTGGTAGTCGTGGATTTGACTTCTTGGCACCTGTCTTGGAAAAACGATCATAACTTTCACACAAAAGTTGTAAATGGAAAAACGCTTTAGACTATAGTTAAGTTTATGAGTTAAGAACTTACCATAAAAATTTAACATTGAACATAACTAGTTTCCCTTTTCGTTTTGTTTATCCACCAATATGGGTCAATTCCTTCTCTTTCCTTATATGTGGCTATGGTGGCTCTTCCTTCGTGATTGCTGTTGGAGGTGGCTCTTACGACATTACATTATCAGCATGATCAAACTACAATACAGCAAACATATATATATATATATATATTTATATACAATACTATAGCAA